CCTCCTTTTCCTCCTCCTTCTCCTCCTTTTCCTCCTCCTTCTCCTCCATTTCCTCCTCCTTCTCCTCCTTTTCCTCCTCCTTCTCCTCAGGCTTCTCCTCCTCTTTCTCCTCCTCTTTCTCCTCCTCGTTCTCCTCCTCATTCTCTTCTTCTTCCACCTTCTCCTCTTCTTCCTCCTCCTCCTCTTCTTCCTCCTCTTCCTCCTCTTCCTCTTCTTCCTCCTCCTCTTTCTCCTCCTTCATCTCTTCTTCCTCCATCTCTTCCTCCTCCATCTCTTCCTCCTTCTCTTCCTTCTTCTCCTCCAAGAAAGTTATCCGTGTGGAGTGTTTGGAAGCCCTGGGAGGGCCAGGATGTGAGGGTCCTAATGATAACTTCTTTTCAGACATGATGGAGAAGCCTGGACAGATGGGTCCTTTCAGTAGCACGTGATGTTACTTTACCATCCTGGTAGTCAAGAAAGGAATAAAACACCATTAGTAACTACAAGCCCACAAATATGATGGACACTGATCTTGTCCACTCATTTCCTTTAATAGCCTCGGGAGGCCCTTTGCAAGTACAGATCAGTACATGGTAGTATGAAGGCCCACCTCTGCCCCAAATAGAAGGACCAGAGGCTTCACACTCAGAAGCTGGTGGAGAATACACACAGAACAACAGGAAATAAACAGGCTGGATAGTGAAGGCATGACCAGGGATCAGTGATGTAACTGGAGAACCCTTGTATTTATTTGTTGAGAAATACTTACTGCCACATTAAACAAGAGAGGGCTTGTTTGTTTGTTTGTTTGTTTGTTTTAGGATCTTGAAATCTGGAGAGGAAAAAGAACTGGGAAAACTGATGTCTACACAGTGACATGCATGATACATGAGGTCTACACAGGAGGAACAGATGCAAAGATTGGCATCTCTGGTAAGTTAGGGCCCCTGTGGTTGAGGTCCTGAGGCACATTCTCATGAATGACAGCCGTACAAACCACCACCTCCTGCTAGTTTGTGAGGCAGCTCCTTATGCTTCAGTCCCAACTGGCCTGGCATCCTGAGCATCTTGACTTCCTCAGGAAGCCTTGTAATATCTAGCATGGGGCTGGAGTGATGGCTCAGAGGTTAAGAGCACTGGATGTTCTTCCAAAGGTCCTGAGTTCAATTCTCAGCAACCACATGATGGCTCACAATGGTCTATAATGAGATCTGGCATACCCCTCTTCTGGTATGCAGGCACACATGTGGGCAGAATACTATATAAATAATAAATTAAAAAAAAAGATCTAGCTTGTATTCTGCTGACCATTTGCTCTATTAGTTAGCTTTCATGTCTGACCTTCCAACATTGTGAACCTCTTTAAAGCTAGATGGAGTTGATTCTTTAAAAAACAAAAAAGATTTATTTTTTATACATACTCTGCCAGCACCAGATCTCATTACAGATGGTTGTGAGCCACCAATATGGTTGCTAGGAATTGAACTCAGGACTTTTGGAAGAACAGCCAGTACTCTTAACCTCTGAGCCACCTCTCTAGAGGTGATTCTTTTTATAGAGTGTATTTCAGATTTCTTGCTGCCTCCCATTCTCCACAGTGACTCTCCACAGTGGACATGACCTCCTTCAGTATGGGCTGCTGCTCTCCCCAGGAGCTCTACCATGCCCTTGTCATGTTAAACAAGTCAGATCAGGACCCCCATAGCTGAGCTGCCCCACCGAAAGTGGCTCCTTGCATTTAGAGCACATTGTGAGTCTCATGTATTCCAGGTCCTCTAGGTTCTGGTTCTCTGGCTGTAATTCCTGCTTACTCCTCCTCCCCTCCAGTAGCCTAGCACTTAACCACTTTGTCTAATTATGTGTCTGCTTCTGAGTTTGCTTGTGCAGTCATTCTCTTGGATGAGGAGTCAGTGTCTCAGTGATGGTGAGCTCCCATGGCGTGTTCCCACCCTATTTGCAGTAAAAGCCTGGAGCCTGGCCTGTAACAGATACCCAGTAACTCTATGGACAGTGACAGAAGGGAGGGCCATAAAGAGACAGCTAAGAAGGAGCACATCCCAAAGTTTTTTTTAAAAATACCTTCCGTTTAAGTAGTGGGGTACGCTGAAGAGGGTGCTCACTGGGTGGCAGGAGGGGCTGGGGGAGCACAGCCAGCCCAGGGAAACCTTTATGTGTTCTGGCTCAGGAGAGACGAACCCCTTAGCCCACTTCTCCTGGTCTCGTGACTCTGAAAGTCTGTTTCAGGGACCCATTTAGGGGCGTTTACCAGAATCACTTTGAGCACATGCTCAACATGAGAGGCCTGACAACTAAGAACATTTACACACACATATTTATGTAATAACAATTAGTGAAAAAAAGGATGCTGTGAGTTTGGAAGAGAACAAAGGCAGCTCTTTGGGAGAGTTTGGAGGGAGGAAAGGGAAGGTTCCACTCACTTGCTCCTCAAACCTCCAGCCAGAGCTGTGGATTTTGAGAACAAGTAGAAATAAAATAATTCTTATTTGGCCAAACTTTAGTTGGCTCCTTGACCGTCTTTTAAGTTCATCCATGCATGCTCAGGCTCTTGTAAAATTTAACTGTAGCAAGAACTCTGCAAGCGTCTCCATTCTGGAGAAATCACCACTAATATCAGACTGGGGTCCTCATCCTCCATCATTCCCCGGGCTGTATCTGATCTTCATCAAGAAACCTGTCACATCAGTTTCACTACAATCTCCCTCACACCTGATATTTGATTTTCCATCCATCCTTATGCCACCCTGATGTTCTACACACTGTCCTACCCTGGTCCACGACAGTGTGTTTCCACCATCCTTTGTTGTATTTGGAATTGAGCCCAGGTCTACACGGAGGTCCCTTACTCTTACTGCAAATTTTCTACATAAAATCTGTTTTTACTGCTTCAGTGCCTGCTAGGTTGTGGGTTTGTTTTTTGACAGCGGGGCTGTCCAGCCTGATGGGTTAAGAACACGTGGATTTAGGCTCATCAAATGCTCATCTTTCAGATTTCTTCTTAGCTGCTTAAGAAATCAAAATCAGCTGGGCTCCTGGACAGACCAGATTACGTTTATCAACAGCATGCTGTCACTCAGGGTTACAAGCCTTTTCTTTCCACTCCCCAACGCGCCTAACCCTTGGAAGAAAGAAAGAAAGAAAGAAAGAAAGAAAGAAAGAAAGAAAGAAAGAAAGAAAAAAGGGAAAAGGGGTCCAGCCATCTGCATTCTCATTTCAAAGACCAGGAAGGCAATCATTCTCAACACCTCACTTTAATTATCTTAGAAATGTGCAATAAAACCCCACAGCAGAACTTAATCACAACGGATGCCTGATGCTTGCTCTATGAGACAACTTGTGACTCTGGCTTGCCGGACAGACTGCAGGTTGATTTCCGTGGCTACAACAGGACCAGCAGTTTTATAATGGGTGGTTTGTAGCTTACTGATTGCTAGACCAACTTTCCCAAGATTCCAACTTCCATCCAATCCAGCTAGCAGAAATAGTGGTTTCCTGAAAGTTGGACCAAATATTTGCAGTTTCAGAGCTGACAAGAAGGTGAGAGTTTTGGTTTCTCTTGGACATAGGACCCCGCTGTCCTTACTGCTACTTGCATTTATTCAGTAAGCAGGAAGGCTGAACATCTCTCGAGTCCTGCCATGTGCCCGGCAACAGGCAACAGCCCCCTGTTCTCACATTTCTGCACACTAAGAAAAAAAAAAAAGATTTACGAGGAGGTCTGAGTCCCGACTGCTCACATACTGGCTTTAGGGTTCTGGCCCCTGTAGAGAAGTGGGCCTTACACACTGAACACCCTAGTCCGGCCTCTGCATGTGTGCATATAAACATATACCCCAGGCTGTGTGACACTCTCCCTGGAGAAATGAAAACAAACATCTGCTCACCCCACAGAGTGAATCAATGACAGATCAAAGAATGGATACCACCACAATCCAGCTTGGCGAACCAATGAGTTTCATTGAGGTTACTTACAGGACTGCGGATGAGAGGTTACTTAAAGGAGCAAAAATGCCTCAGTGACAGCGGCAGCACCGAAGTGCACCAAAAGCTGGGGCTCAGTGTTTGCTTTCTAGGCAGCTCCACAGGACGGAACCCACCTCTCTAGGCAGCTCAGACACTCTCTGCCTCTTCCAGGAAGTTTGGGCTGCCCTGAGTATGTCTCTCAGCTGTGGTCCTTATTGCTAATACATGTTTGGTGGGAAGTGGCCTAGTGAATCTGATCAGTTTCGGAGACTTCCTGAAGCTATTGAGTTGTTTACGTCCTGAAGTTTAAGAAGCTTCCCCGCAGGGTGGAATGTTCACCTTCTCTTAGAACATCCTGTAAAGAGCTTCCTTATCTAAGATGGAATGTCTTGTCTTAGGGGATGTTGCTGTGCAAAACCTTCACATATACTTGTGACAGCTCAACTTTGTATATGTAAGAGGAACTCAGCAGAATCTGTTGAATGAATGAATGGATGAGAACAGAGCATATTAGTCAGGTACTATGTGCACACAACTTCCTGGTTGTGTGCATATACTCTGTGATGCTTTGTCAAGGTCACTGCTCTGGCACAAGAACTTCCACATTGCGTGGTAAACAAGAGGATGATGGATTTCTCCTCAGGAAGGTTTATTTTTAGATCTCGTTTTTTATCCTAAAGTGAACATTCTTAGTTGGAATAAATTAAGAAGACCCAAGTAGCTAAGACAAGCAAACAAACAGAACTGAATATTCCCTCCACAGATGACTGGTTCAATACTGAGCTGAGAAGGAGGATAACCTGTTTCACAGTGGAACGATCTAAGAGGC